CGGTATCGGGCGAGTACTGGAAAAAGTGGTATCGGTGCATCCCTACTTTTTACATTAAATATTACATATACGTATGTAATATAATGTTTATTTCCATCACAGGCTTGGTCTTAAATTTCACATAAAGTGGTATTAAAAAGGTCTTAAAAAGTTTTAAATTTAACTTGTTCATATCTGTAGACACCCTGCATGAGTTGATATTTGCATTGATCTGACCATAATCACAAAGAAAGGCTTATTGGAAATGCAATTTCATTCTCTGCCATGAGGTGGCACTTTAGGAACGCTGAAATTCCCCGGTAACGGCTGTATACAAAGCAGCTCCGCGCTCCTAAACGCTGATTTATCCGGAATTATAGGTAAAATGAAATTAAAATTAGAGGTCGACCGATATGGGTTTTTCACTGGCCGATGCCATGACAGCGTGGATGCTATTGTTGGACCTATACACACATTTCATGAGGAAAGTTAACGTGCATGTTATAATCAGCCCAGAAGTTTCGTCTGAATTGCATGTTTCTACTTTCACATGCAAATGACTGGTTGCACTTATGAATATGATTTCCGGCATCAATTCTAGTAGGGTAAAACGTAATTACGCTGTCTGTTTTGCCCTGCCATCATTAGCTGAAGCTGTGTGTGAACAAGAAGCGGCTGCAGAGTGTGAGTTGCTCCGTCTCTCACGCAGCCAGAGAGAGATTCTCCGGTGTTCCACAACAACGCTTAGCTGCCCGCAGATGCGCCTGCCTATAAATCGGTCTAATTTGCAGCACAATCAGCTGATGCGGATTAATTAAAAAATGCCCAAAATCGGCCGATTAATCTTTTATAATTTCTTATACCATTTAACATATTTAAAATTGTTATGGCCTTAAGTTTGATACAACTCACTTTAGGAGTTTTTAAGGACCCGTGGGAGATCTACATTTAAGATAGCCCATCGGGCAGAGTGGTGATACATTTTGGTAGCCCAACTGGAAAACACAATAGCCCCGGGACGTCGGGCTAGCGATTTTGCGAGCCCTGCAATCACGTTTTTATGCAGTTGAAATAGCAGGGGGAAAGATCACGTTAGCCCGCGGACCAAAGAACAACCTGCAGCAACAGTTTAAAAGTATCCCAATTCTGCAGAAAACCATGAACTTGGCAACACTGCGTAGTGACCTGGAAAAGTGCCCACCTGAGCTGATGTCATTAGCCACCTTCGCTTTTTCAATGATGTACGACTCGCATTGACGGGAATATCCGATCTGTCCACTTACATGGCAGATGCAAATGCATGCATCATTCATATCAGATTTATTTCTACATATGAATGAGGCCTGAAACCAATCTGAGAATATCGGAATTCATGTGCTTTTTTCCTGTTTACACGTACATGGGTCATATCCCACAACCTGTGCCACATGGGAGGAAAAATCGGAATTGGGTCACATGAACCATATAATGTAAATGCGGTCTAAACCACTGTGGGTCATTCTGAAATTCATGCAGAAACATGCACCTCATTGCTAGGAGACGCTAGGTGACAAATGAAATGTGCTCTAAAATCTTCTAAAAAAAATCAATCGTTTGATATCCTCTGACTGGAAGGGAGTCATAGTCTGGCGCTAAAAATTCTGTGCTGCTCATCGTGATTTTCTGTGAAATCTGTCAAAATCTGGAGACTGACTTTCAGCAACTAGCATTGACTTTGCCAGACAACACATTAGAGAAAAATTCTAGCAAAGTTGATGAAGTGTATTCCAGTCTTGAGTTTGAACACTTCCTGCCTTTAGAACATGATTCCAACATTCTTCTGTACCTACAATCTTACACAACTTTTTGTTGTATTATGTCACATCAGGCTTGTATGTTAAATTGTCTGTCTTCCTGAACAGATCTGTAACATGGTTGCAGTTCTTGATGTTATCACCAATTTGGAGAAATATCCTATCACCAAAGAAGCACTTGAGGTTGGTAAAGATGTGCACTGATCATCAATAACATAATATAAATCTGCTTAAGACATGACACATCAAATGCTCTTTCCGGGTCCAAGTCGCTACTATATTTCAAGCGTGATTACTGTCCTTTTAAGGACATGGTGTACACTATTGTTTATAGGCTCACTATTTCCCAGACAACAATATTTTACCAATTCAGAAAAGATAAATCACTGTCTGGCTAACTGAGATTTTGTTACTGAAATAAAGGTTAGAATAATGATTTTTCGGTAGTATAAAGAACACCATGATTATGTATTAGCCCTGTTTGTTGTTTGCTGTTGGGATCTGATAGAGCGTTTGTACCCGGAAATGTCAGACTTATCAGCCAAATAATATCTTGTCCATCATTACTCTTCATTAACACTGCATGGTATTAGTTTGACAGAAAAATGCTTATTAAGAAGACTTGTAATAAGCAATTTTGAGACTTTTCTTTGATGTTTCCTTTTCAATGCAGGAAACTCGCTTGGGAAAGCTGATTAATGATGTGAGAAAGAAAACAAAGGATGAGGACCTTGCCAAACGTGCCAAGAAACTCCTGCGGAACTGGCAGAAGCTGATCGAGCCCGGCCAAAGTGACACTCCGGCGAGAGGAACGCCAAATGTCCCGGGTTCTGCCAATGGCGGTGCTCACCCCTGCCGGACAGACACGCCTCCAGCAGTCCCCCCTCCGAGCAAGGTCGCTCCCGAGCTCAAAACCAGAAATGACATCCATAACACATACTCCCCAAAGGCAGAGAAGTCCAGCAGCCGAAAACGGCGGGGGGAGCAAAGGGATAGTCCGCATCTGCCGGCCAAAATGACAAAGACGTCCCTTTACGAGCCAATGTATTCCTCTTCCCCACCATCAAATGGAATTAGGGGGAGCCCCGAGCCACTCCCGGATAAAGATGACGATGTACCATCTGACAGAATCCGCATGGAACACCTTGAGAATGACAGGCACAACAAAATCCCTGTCAACGCTGTGAAGCCTCATCCCAGCTCTCCGGGGCTTACCAAACTACCTAGCACTTCCTCCTTACTCAAAACGTCAGTGTTACAGCAGCACGCGAGAATGGACGGTGGCGGGCAGCATCAGCCCAAAAGCCCTCGGTACTCCTCGAGTCCGCGCAGCGTAACGCATGAGACGATGGCCAAGAGGTCTTCAACATATGCACCAAAAGGGACTCTCTCGAGCCCGGCTCAGAATTCAGCCCAAGTGCCCTCTCCTTTGCCCACGCTGCAGCCTTTAACGTCGCTGGCCCAGGTGTGCATCAGCGACGGTCCGTCATCTGTGGGGCTGGAAGGCTCGATGCACTTGCACAGATCGACGGATAGACACTCCCAGCCCCCACATAGCACTGCAACACTGGAGCCGCTTTCCAACTCCTCGCTCACCACACACAGCTTAGAGGGCACGGAGACCAAGGGTGAGCGGGAGGGAGCGACCTCCAACTTGGAAGGCAAAAAGCGGAAGAAATACAGACCCAGAGATTACACCGTAAATCTTCAGGGGCAGTCCTCGGAGGACAGGACCAAACCCGTGCGGTTAAAAGAGCGTAGGTTGACATTCGACCCGGTGACCGGACAGATTAAGCCCCTCACTCCGAAAGAATCCCACCATGATGTAGAGTGCCAAGGCCCGCCAATCGCAGAGCCTTCGGCGAGGACTGAGATGCAGCAGCAAAAGACCCCTACGTCAGTTCCCAACCCCTTTCAACAGACGAACTGGAAAGAGCTGTCCAGAAATGAAATCATTCAATCGTACCTTAACCTTCAGAGCAACGTTCTCACATCCTCTGGAGCACAGACCCACGGGGCACACTTTTTCATGACTGAATATTTGAAGCGAGAGGAACACGGCGTCAAAGAGTCCCGGAAAACACATGCTTTAGTATCGAGCAGCTCCGTGACGGAACTACCCGGGGTGACTCGGGACGTAACGAACGAGGACCTTCTCAGAATACACAACGAACACTGGCCAGGCGTGAACGGTTGTTATGACACCAAGGGAGCCTGGTTTGATTGGACAGAGTGTATATCGTTGGATCCTCACGGCGATGAGAGTAAATTGAACATCCTGCCGTATGTTTGCCTAGACTGAGAGAACAGGGCTTGGAAAAGTTTTCAATGTTCCCACTGTGACTCGAAGGAGATCGAAGTAACTCTCCTCGTCACTTTGTACTAGGTTCGTCTTACAGGTGTAAAGAACGAACCAACGGCGGTTGTTCCGAGTTCAGTTTTCCACAAGAAGGAGCTGAAGTGGCGTCCTGTTTGTAATGTGCTGCTACCAACTAGAATTTGCAAACAAGGGTTGTATATAATGGCTCGCAGGGATTTCACTGTGCCAGTTCTTGCACAACTTGTGAATAGGAGGGTCTGAGCAAGCATTGAGCAGTACAGATATGTTTAAAAGCAAGTCGAGAACATTTTTTGGCAGTTACAAAAAGCTTTATGTGACAAAGAATAAATTATAAAAGTTTCTTATGTATGCATCTATTTATTTGACCATTTTGTTTTCCATATTTTTTTTTTCCTAGCAGAAGGTTATCCACTAAGATGTGCAGATATGTTTGAGGCTTTTCTGTTCGCATCACACATTTGTCCCCTTATTTGTGATGTACATGAGGCATATATAAATACAATTTTTCCCCACAGCAGCTCTCACGTACGTGTGCTAATTGCAGTAGATACCGACATTCCATTCCGTCATTTCTCGCTTAACATTTCTTTCTCGATTTATTTAAATGTATGTGATTTTCATATGAGAGAAAAGCAATCTATTTTTAGATGTGTTAAATAAAACAATATTTTAAACAAATCTGTTTGCCTAGATAATTGTAAAAAGAAAAATATGGATAAATATGTCGAAAAAGAGAAAGTATTCATGTGCTAAGAAAACGCAGCGAATGGCCACAGAGGGTGCTACTTTTCATCTTCATACTGTGGGAACAGGAAAGCAAGAAAATGTTAATATGCTGGAAATATACTTGTTACCATTCCTTTAGATATTGTTTGCCTTACTGAAACCAGTCAACAATGACTTTCTTATTTGAAGAGCCTTAGTGAATGTATGGCATTTAGAGTTTTGTTTAGGTGGTACAGAAGGAACACAACTCTTGGCATCTGCCATATGGTCTTTTTTTTTCTCATATGGACGCATTGTGCTATAAATGTGTCAATAAATATGCGCGTTATCCTGCTTGTCTGTACATAGTTCTTGCAATCCATGTAAAACCTTTCTAAGTCTTCATTCTTTTAAGTGTGAATGAAATTAATTTGGGAGGAAACAAAGCATTTTGAATGAAAGACCCAATCATTTGTGTTGCTGTTCACAGGCATCTATAGACCTAGATTTATAGGCTGTGGTCCTATTATTCATTCAGTGTTTTCAGTTTGACATTATTGATCGTTTTTTTTTTTTCATTCAATATTATTTTAAATGCCTTGCCATTGTTTTGAAGACAAACGTCTTGTGAAGGGGGTGAAACCAATTTTCTGCCGACTTGCAAACACTGTGTGCTCTGCTACCTTTGTCCTACCAATGTGCCTTTGATGTAAAAAGTTTGGAAAGGCTTCCGCTAGCTTCACTTGGTTTCAAAAGTACAGCTTATGTTTTCTTAAAACCATGTCAGATATTCCAGGGATATGCATCGTTTTTGAAGCAAAGGCCATCTAAGAGCTCAACACTTGGTTAGGGTATTGCAAATATAATTTGCAATTTAAAACTAGAGGAGAGACTTCTTTGATCATTTTTAATCAGTATATTTGTTCAGTGTTTAACATCACTCGTTTGTTCGAAAAAATAAAATGATCAAAACTTTTTGCAGCATGGTACCCTTTCTTCCATCAAGGTTACTTGTCCCAAACCTACATGATTGACATGTTCATGAGAGGAAAATATATAATTTAATGTTGTTTCCTTTTCAGGAAACGATTTGTAGTGCTAAATCAATCAATAGTAAACAAAATGTGTTGTGTTCCCTATGCAATGTGCTTTTTGAGTGTTATTGTAATCTATTTGCTTGCATGGTGTGTCATGGAAACCCCCTTTAAATGAAGCTAACCAAAAGTGGTTACTCACCCAAAATGAAAATTCTTTCGTTTACTCACCCTCGTGTCATTCCAAACCTGACTGGTTTACTTTCTTCTGCTGAACCCAACAGAAATGTTTGAAGAATGTTTCAGCTTCTTTTCATCTTAAGTCAATTTGGTTTCAAACAACACTGGACCCCATTTAGCAGCTTTAGCCATTCACACAGAACACATTTTTGCTGTGAAAAACGGCCACATTTGACTGTTAAGCTTGCGCATCTTGCAGCATTTCGTGCTTGATGTGACATTGTACAAAGGCATTGTTTGAATGGCCTCTTACACACCAAATTTTATACCAAAGATGATAACTAATTATCATTCAAATTCTTTGAGAATAAGGAATTTTGCACCACAGCTTTAACAATAATGTCATTATCATGGTATTAACTTTCAGAAAGATTTTTTTCCAAGTTGATTGAATCAGAATCCACTGAAATTTAAAGCGCTTCAGCATTTAAAATGGCAGATGACATCAACTGCAGCTTGCTTATAACAAAAATATGAACGTTATGGAACCTCGGAATGGACACCAGTGTAATTATGATTACAGTTATCTTTCTTACTGTGAATAAGCCTTTAGTCAACATTTAAAAGAATAGTTCACGCTCAGGCCATTTAAGATGTATAGGAGTTTGTTTCTTCATAGCAACAGGTACATTTCTGATGAAAAAGGATGAAAATGAGAAATGTACAACCCCAATTCCAGAGAAGTTGGGACTTTTTTGTAAAAATGCAATAAAATCAAGAATCTGTGATTTGTTCATTCTCATTAACTTATTTAATTGACAAAAGTACAAAGAAAACATTTCCAAAGTTTTCACTGACCAACGTAAATGTATTTTGTAAATATGAAATTTCTTTGATTTTGATGGCTGCAACACACTCTAAAAAAGTTGGGACAGAGGCACGTTTAACACTGTGTCACATCAACTTTCCTTTTAATTACAATGTTTCATTGTTTGGGAATTAAGGATACTAATTGTTAAAGTTTTGCAAGCAACATTTTTGTCCAGTCTCTCTTGAAACAAGGCTAAAGATGCTCAGCAGTCTGTGATTGTCATTGTCTGATTCTCCATTTCATGACTGGTTATACATTTTCAATAGGAGTCAGATCTGGACTGCAGGCAGGTCAGTCTAGCACATTTACTGAGTCCACGAAATTTGTAGCACATGCAGAATGAGCGCTGGCATTGTCTAATAACCATGGACTTCCCATGAAAGACATCATCTGGACGGCAGTATATTTCTCTGTACAACTCCAATATATGCCTCCATGTCAATGCTACCTTCACACATATGCAAGTCACCGCCGTTTGCACTGATGCAATACCATGACTAGTGGTCGACCGATATTGGTTTTTTGACAGCCGATGCCGATATCTTGGAAAGCAGGGTGGCCGATGGCCGATATAATTTTATTTAATATTTAAGAAATTTGAAATCATTTGAAAATGGATTAAAAAATAAATGTGTAAAATAAGCATGCTTATACTTTATATGACAGTATTTTTAACAAATAAACAAATATTTAATAAAAATATAATTAACACTGTAACCAACAGGGCACTCAGTATTCTGGGAAGTTTGTGTGCATTGGGAATCACATTTTTTCTAATAAAGCCAAGGTAACGCTCATTTTACATACAGCAAACAGTGAAAATGACATGAATATGACATTGGGCAAAAGCATGAAGCGCAACATAATTTGAAATCACGAGTTTAAAACCCTCATCCGGCCCTCGGGTCATTTTGACCCGAAACTCCTTTTTAAAGATTTTTTAAAAATCGAGTGTTGATCGTTATGGTATGAGACTTTGTTACTTTTGTCACACTTGAACCGGGAATACACAAAAAAAATTTGAGTGAATTCGAGCAGTTTAAGTGGGTGTTATATAAAAAGTATCAAAAGTGTCCCTCGCGGGTCCTTTTGACCCGCCACTGGAAAAGCAGGGAATTTACGAAAAAACTGCAGATTTTTTAAATTTAATTTTGTCACACTTGAGCATGGAACACACACAAAAAAATCTGAGTCGATTCGAGGATTCTATGTGGGTGTAGTAACAAAAGTGTCCCTCGCGGGTCATTTTGACCCAGCCATAGGTCAAATGGAATGTCCGAAAAAAACAGCATTTTTTTTATTTATTAGATTTTTTTGACTATACAAAATCTGACACAATCCAGAAAAGATGCATACCCAAACAAAGGGCTGAGACTGCAGAATGTCCCCAATACACAAAAAACTCACATACCCACACACACATGGCACACACACTCCCATTGAAACACATTATAGCATGTATGATGTTTCTGCTGAGAAATGACTGTCATTTTGAAAAAAATTTTGACTTAACACAGTTAAATTTGAGTGATGGG